GAAGGTTTGCAGGGAGAGTGTGTCCCCGAGGCCTTTCTGAGCAAACAAAAAAACCCCTTCTCCCTTTTGCTTGTTGGCATCAAATGATAGCCTGAACTGGTGCCTAATTTTAGCCTCTTGTCTCCTGCTTGGGTCTCGTTTTGCGATATCCTTCCTGCAGTTTTTTTGGAATGGAGCTTTGCTTACTGCAATTCATTGTGGCTGGGCTACAGCTCAGTGGAGATAAATCTGTATTGTGTAGACTTCCTGTCAGGGGGGTGGTGGGGTTCATGTGTTTGGAGGAATTTCCTGGTACTTTTGAGCAGGGAAGCGAAGGAATTTTGGGAGGAAATTTCATGTGAACATGAGTCTCGCCCATTGTCCCTTACTTTTTGACAGGAATGGAGCTGAGGCCAGAATTATTATTTATTACTGTTTTAGACTGCCAACCCGATATCTCTGGTGACAAATAGCTTACAAACAATCACCAAATTCCTTTAAAATATGGTTTTAGTTGCAAACGTTCATTATTTGGGGCTGTACAGGGTTTTCCTCAGCTTTGTATTTTATGTTATTGAATTATGTTCTACTCTCTTTCAATGCTTGGTATCAGTGTTTATTTTATTGATTTGTTTTTTGGCTACTCCTTCTTCTTCTTCTACATATTATTTTAGACTGTCTCCTGTAACCCACTTAGAGGTCTTTTTGTTCTTGTAAGAGTCATGGCTTCCCGCAAAGAATCCTGGGAGCTGCTGTTGTTCATGTGCTGAAGACTCCTCTTCCCCTCAGAGAGCTGCAAATGTCAGAGTGATTTAAAAATCAATCCCTCTATCCCAGGGGAACTCTAGGAATTGTAGCTCAGGGGAAGGGTTGTCTGCTAGCAAACAGAACTACATTTCCCAGGATTCTTTGGGGGAAGCCATGGCTGTTTAATATTATACTGTATTGCTTTAAATGTATGGTGCAGAGGGCTCCCCTGCCAACAATCTCTCTCACTCCCCCTCCGGCCCAGTGCTTTAGTAGTGCATACCTATGCACGGTGCCAGCAAGCACGTAGACAGGATCAGAAAGAAGAGCTTGTAAAAAATAAATTGCTGGCTGTGCATCCTTCTAGCCCTGGCAACTAGCCAAGTGAGTAGTACTTCTGGCTGGGTGACATCACTTAGACACTACACAGGCCTTGAGGTTGTGAAAAGCTAATGAAGAGAAGAGCCTGCTTAAGCCTGTGCACAGATGGTTTGTCTTTCTGATAACGGGTTTGGAAGTGGGCAGGAGATTTGAGGCTGCTCAGTTATTGTGGGAGAGGGTAGAAGCAAGTGCCCAGATCATGCTGTGCAGCAGGTCGTTCCTGCCCTGTGAAATGTGAGAATTCCTCTTGAGCTTTGTATCCCGTGCTTGACTGGGTAGGCTCAGGCTGGGGGTTGTAGTTTCTGCTTTCTAGTTGGTACAGGCAACTCCCCATTTACGTGGGGGTTACGTTCCGAGGCACCACACGTTTAAGTGAAATTGCGTATATCGGGAACACTGTTGAAAAAGGCCGCAAACACCACAAGCGCTCCCTCCAAACCTCCTTGCTCAAACTCCAACTCTCCACAGGCCTCAAAGGTTGGTGCAAGGGCTCCTGGGATTGTACTTGCAAAGGCTCATGGGATTGCTAGGCACTGTTTTCATGCCATTTTTGCTGTTTTGCACTCGTTTGGGTCCATTTTTGCTCCTTTTGTACCACTTCCAGGTTCGTGGTCATGCATGCCTTGAATGTGCACAAATGGAAAGTTGCCTGTATGTGGCTCTGAAGACTGTGCTCTAAACCAGCTTCAGAGCAGGGTTGGGAAAACTTCCCCACCCGATCGCCAGGCCCAGGGCAGCTTTTCCTCTTGAGTGACTTTCTGGAGGCTTCATGCCAGCAAATGGGTGGGCCAAAGCAAAAATATGGTCCGAGGCCTGAGCAGTAAGTAGATAGATGCAGAATTATACTTGCTGATGTCTTTAGTGTTGCTACCCCATGTGGTGAACCACTAAACTTTCAGGTGGAAGCTTTCTTATTGGAGAACCTTCCCAGCAGCCTCTGCCCATTGAGTCACAGGATTGTAGAGTTGGAAAGGACCATGAGGGTCATGTAGTCTTATCCCCAGCTGGCCATTGGATCTTCCTGGGCAGGAAGGCCTTCCTTTTCCAGCTGTGTTTGCTGGAGCAACAAAGTCATCTTGAGCTGGGAACTAGTTTGCTAAGGGTGCTGAGAGTTGATAGGAGACTCCCTAGCCACAGTCCCATAATTCTCTGGGAAGAGGGATTGGCTGTTAAACCACTCTGGGAGTTGTAGGGGGGAAGGGGGGGGGGAGGAATTTGTACCATATTTTTCGCTCTGTAAGACGCACATTCCCCCTCCAAAAATTAAGGGGATATGTGTGTGTGTCTTATGGAGCGAATGCAGGCTCCTTGGCTTCAGCGATAGCAATGCGAAGCCTCTGGAGCGCAGCGGGAGCTCCTGCCGCGCTCTGGAGGCTTCAGGTTGCCTTCACTGAAGGCGAAGGCAATTTGTGAGAGGGAGAGCTGTGCAGCGCCCCTTCAGCGAAGCGGGAAGAGAATTGGAAGGGGCTCCGTTTCTCTTGCCGCTTCGCTGAAGGGGCGCTGCGCAGAGAGGGGGAGAATTTTTTTTCTTGTTCTCCCCCTCTAAAACAAGGTGTGTCCTATGGTTGGGTGCGTCCTATAGAGTGAAAAATATGGTAGTTTTATTCACTGCTGGGCAGTTAACACTGGTTACTAGTCATGATGGGTGTATATGACCTCCAGTAGCAGATGGAGGCCGTATGCCTCTGAAAAGCAGCTGCTGAGAGATCAGGAGTGGGAGAGTGCCATTTCACTCATGTCCTACTTATGGGCTTCCTGTAGACATCTGCTTGGCTACTGTGAGAACAGGATGCTGCACTAGATGGGGCCATTGGCATGATCTCATAGGGCTCTTGTTGTTTTATCTTCTGGGACAATTCCTGCCTACCCTTGCCAACTTCAAAGGTGGGAGGAAGACCAGTTGCCTGTCACCTTTGCTAGAGCACAGTAAAACCCTTGAAGCCTGAATGCAGCTACCGTATTTTTCGCACGATTGGACGCACCGGACCATGGGACGCACCTAGTTTTTTGGGGGGGAAATAAAGGGGGGGAAATTTCCCTTTATTTCCCCCCCAAAAGCAGGTCAGGGAAACCGAACCAGGTCGAGGAACAGCGGGATAGTGGCGCTGCGCCTCCCTGCTGTCCCCCGAGCTTGTGGGGCTGGCTGATGTCTGCCTGGCGCGCACGGCGCTCTGCTTCAGGGCGCCCCATCCGCCGGGCGGCAGGCTGCTATCCGCAGCATGGGGAGCCCTGCAGGGAACTCCTGCAAGGCTCCCCACGCTGCGGATGTCTGCCCGGTGAGAGGGGCGCTCTGCTATCCGCAGCCTAGACACGGCTAGCGGAGCGCTAATCCCGAAGCTTGGGGCGTGCGGAGCTCAGCGCGCCCCAAGCTTCTGGGCGCCGGCAAGGTCTCCCACGGCTAGCAGAGACCTTGCCGGCACCCAGAAGCTTGGGGCGCGCTGAGCTCCGCACGCCCCAAGCTTCGGGATTAGCGCAGTGGTCCACTAGCCCTGGGAGAGCCGTGCGACGTCGCGGGGCTCTCCCAGGGCTAGCGGAGACATTGCTGGCACCCAGAAGCTTGGGGCGCGCTGAGTCCGCACGCCCCAAGCTTCGGGATTAGCGCAGTGGTCCGCTAGCCCTGGGAGAGCCGTGCGACGTCGCGGGGCTCTCCCACGGCTAGCGGAGACCTTGCCGGCACCCAAAAGCTTGGGGCGCGCTGAGCTCCGCACGCCCCAAGCTTCGGGATTAGCGCAGTGGTCCGCTAGCCCTGGGAGAGCCGCGCGACATCGCGGGGCTCTCCCAGGGCTAGCGGAGACCTTGCCGGCACCCAGGAGCTTGGGGCGCGCTGAGCTCCGCACGCCCCAAGCTTCGGGATTAATGCAGCGCTCCGCTAGCCGTGGGAGATCTGGGTCTCCCACGGCTAGCGGATAGCTTCCTGAAGCCTGGAGAGCGAGAGGGGTCGGTGCGCACCGACCCCTCTCACTCTCCAGGCTTCAGCGAAAGCCTGCATTCGCTCCATAGGACGCACACACATTTTCCCTTGCTTTTTAGGAGGGAAAAAGTGCGTCCTATTGTGCGAAAAATACGGTATTCTCTCTCCTTTCACCACCACACTCCTCAAGGCGCCCTGCCTTAAGCCGCGTTCTTGATGAGCCACTATGGGCTGTGAAGTGGGAGGCTGGCCGGCTGAGCCATCCAGCGCAATCCAGCAGGATGTTCCAGTAATTTTGTTGCTCAGCTCTTGTGCATTGATGGAAGCTTGCTCAGAAAAAAATGCCTGCCGATTGTGCCCCATGTTAATTAGTACAAATGAGACAGCTGTTAGTTCATTTTCAGGGGAGGGGGGTCAATCTATAATGAAGCATAACACCTTCACATTTCTTGGCCCAGCCATGCATATTATCCTTAGGAATTTGTTCCAACTAGCATATATTGAGGAAGTCTGTTGCTCTTTCATTCCCATGCTATAACTTTGGCCGGCACTGAGGAGCCTTATGCAGTACAGAATGCATCCCCAGCCTTTGCATGAACCATTGATGAGTCACAGGGCAGTCTTCAAAAAAGATGTTATACGCAACCTCTGGGTTTTTATTCCATATTTCCAGCAGCGCAAAACCAATTAAGGGGTCATTTTTCCTTCCTCCACAAGCCTTTTAACAGAAGGGGTTGCTAAAGCATCCCCACTTGTTTGTGAAAAATGCAACACAGAACTAGAAGTTTTAATTATTATTTTTTACAAATTGATTTTTTTAATCCCACCTGTCCTGAGTGCAACCAGTTGTTATGAAACCTGAAACATCAAGTCAAGTGTCCCAGGTTGAGGGGGGGGGGCAGTTGGGGCATATCCCTTCTATCCAATCATTTAATGTTTCGTCCCAGGTACCCTTAAACAATAAACCTTCTTAATTCCACAGAGCTCCCGGAAAACTGGACTGACACCAGAGAAACCTTATTGGAGGGTATGCTCTTCAACCTGAAGTACCTGGGCATGACACTCGTCGAGCAACCCAAAGGTGAAGAGCTATCCGCTGCTGCTGTTAAAAGAATTGTAGCCACGGTGAGCTGCCCTTTACTTCATACCCCCACCCCCCAAATGTCCTCTGTTACGCCTAGGCTAGAAGGGTAGCAGCCATAGCAGTATATGTGCAGCTTCCATAGCTCTGTCCTGTTGAATCCAGAACAGCGCTGAAAGCTGAGTTTTTGGCTCCATCTCCCATTCAAACTTAAGATAGGTTTGAAAGTTTACTGGAAATGTGAATGACTTGTGCTTTTGTTTTTGTAATTCTTGGGAAGTTCTCAGATGGGGGCTCTGTTTCTGTGGTCAGGTTAAGGGTGTTAGCAGGTTTGGAAAAACCCCCAAATTCACAAAAGTACAAAATATATTTTAAGGAAATTTTTGAACTAGGGGTGCAGAGGGGGAACCCCAAACAAGTCCTCAGTGGGCATGGAATTCTGGTTAGATGTTGGGAGGGGTGGAAAAATGAGGAGGGAGGGAAATAGGATGGAGTGACTAGAGGTCTGAACCGCAGCACTTCACACTGCAACTTTCTGCTGCAGATCCTACGTGTTAACACTTCAGTTCGGCCTATAGCCATGCACTCTAAACTTATGTTCAAGAACAGTAGGGAAACTCGTTCAAGTGACATTAAAAACCATTAAAATTCAGTTCATAAAACAGAAAGCAGTTCATAAAATGCATAAAATGCTTTGCAATTATAGGAAATTAGCCAACATAAAAGTGGCCTGATTTATAGCAAGTTACTAAAAACTTGCTTGAATAAAGGAGGCTTTGCATATCTTGCTAAAAATCTGTAGAGTTATACTTGGGCGGGTTTCTTGTGGCAGTGGATTGGGGTGGCAGCTAGCAAAGATCCTGATGTTTGTCCCCATCAAATGAAGAGGAAGAATATCTTAAGCAGGGGCCCGTCTGATGACCTCAGTCCACAGGAGGGCTCCCATGGGGTGTGGAGGTGTTTTATGGGGCCAAATAAACCACTACGTGATAAATTTGAATTTTATTGTTTTGTATGCTTCATTCAATTTGTTTTCCTTGAATTAGAATTAGTATGAATCATGACATCATGAAGCCTCATTTAACCTCTGCAGTTTTCAAAATTCGCGAAAGAGTTTCTAGGCCATGGATGAACCTGTGGCTCCCTGGGTATTTTTGTTGGTCTCCAGTTCCCACCAACCCCAGCAAACATGGTCAGTGGTTGGGAAGTTGACGTCCAACAAAATCGGGAGGGCAACAGGCCCCTCATGCTCCTGTTCTAGGCCATATGAAAGGCTACCTCTCATGTGTTACCTGCTCCTGCAGCTCAGCTATGAGCTGTGACTTGCATATATTCTCCTGGTGGATAGGAGGAGAAAAGCTCGTTGTTTGCAAAACCAAACCTCCTGGTTTGTAAACCAGAGTGTTTTCATATTAGAGAAAGAAAGAAGAATATTGCTGAAGAAATGAGAACCTGCAGCCAAATGTTTCATTGCAGAGCGTCCCTGTTCAGGGCCTTCCTGCACGATACTCTGTTCTCTTCCTCCTCTCACAAGGTTTACTGAAGAGGAGCAAAATGGTGGGAAAAAATATTTGCAGGTTTGGGGGCTGTTTCCAAGTAACAACATCTGCCTTTTATTCCTGTACATAGTTAATATGTGACTTTTAGATAAGTTGATTTATCTCCACCAGACCCATGAAACACGTTGAATGTTTCCTTTCTCAAGGCAAAAGCAAGTGGCAGAAAGCTCCGGAAAGTAACTCTAAAAGTGTCTCCCAGAGGGATAATCCTCAGTGACAGTGTAACAAACGAGGCAATTGAAAACATCTCAATATACAGGTACGTTCCAATTGTAGTTTTTAAAGACGCAGAGTAAGTATTTAAGGCACATTGGTAAAACTGTGAAACTGGCAGATGTAAGGAGCATGGCTTTCTCAGTGGTGGCCCCACACCTCTCAGATTCCCTTGCCAGGTTAATAGATACGTTCTCTGTGAAGTGTGTTTATCCACCACTTCACATCCCTCCAAAAGATACTCTAGACTGTATACTGGGTGGGGTCATTGCTATACAAGTTGAGACCCCCTTTTTGAACTCCCCTGAACTTGCCCCTGTCTCCACTTTTCTTAGGCTTCACCAGTCTCCTATTATAATAGGCTCACCGCTTGGACTTCTCATTCCATCCACTCCTGTGCTTCTCTCAGCTTTCCTCGTTCTGATTCCTCACCAGGCCCATGCTTCCCACTCAGTGTTTCTGCTTTATCTCTGCACGCTGAGAGGAGAGGCATGACCTCCAGACTGACCTGATTTATTGCTGGTGGGTCTTCCTGCAAAGACTTACAAAGGCACAGCAGCCTCCTCCTCACAGCCTCATTGTTATGTGCAAATGCAGCCATACAGTCCCGTAGCACCTTAAAGACTAACTCATACGCTGTGGAAAAGAGCCGCACTTCATCAGACGCGTTACCCCCAGTTGAAAGGTGTGTGTATGTTTATAGGCAGCCCTGTATAGGGATGTTTTTAATGTCTGATGTTTCATTGTGGTTTTATCATTTTGCCTCTACATAATGATCATAGAATTGTAGAGTTGGAAGGGAGCCTGAGGATCATCTATTCCAGCCCCCTGCAACACAGGAATATGCAAATGCTACGATACAGGCATTGAACCTGCAACCTTGGCATTATCAGCGCTGTGCTTTAACCAGCTGAGCTATCCTTCTTAATTTGTTGGAAGCTGCCCAGAGCAGCTGGGGCAACCCAGTCAGATGGGCAGCATATAAATTTATTTATTTATCTAGGCTGCAAAGGTAGTGGAGCTAAAGCAGTAAAGAGTGGGTTCAGATAGCATGAAATGCAAAAATTACAATTTGTGATAATTCAATTGAAGCTTAAACGTACGCTGATAAACATTGCAGCCGTTCCCAACAGCACTTATTTGGTGATGACTCAGTCATCTTAGCTTTGCTGAGCTAATTAGCGCCTGCAGCGGGACAGGAAGCCATCGCTGTGATCATCCCCAAATGAATAGAATCAAATGTCTTGATAAGTTCTCATTCTGCAGCTTCATGCTGTAGCCTCCCTTTGAAATCCCCTTTGCAGGAGAATTGAAGCCATTGGTGGCTGGTAGGCAGAAGGCAGAAAGGTCAACAGTTGGTGGAGCCAAAGCCAAGGAGAGTCAGAGCCAAATAATTCTTGTTTCCTCCCCATCCTCCTCTCTGCTGAGTTCTATAATGGCAACGCTGAGAGTAAGGAGGAGGAAGCTGACAGCCAGGGCCACCCTGGGACTGGATTTAAGTAAGAAAGCAGGGTGGGAGCTGTCAGAGGCCTTCAGCAGTTTCCGGGAAGCTCGGTCATTAGTTGAAAGTAGTTCTGGGTGACGTCTGTGGCCTTCTTCTTCATGGCCTCTTGCGTACACTGTGTGGAGAAAATCATTAATTTCAGAGGCTACCAGGAGTGGTATTTTACTCCTAAAGATGAATAAAGTTTGTAGATGTCACTTAGGAGGGCCCCTCTGGAACCCGTTTTCCCAAAAACACACTAATTTTTTGCTTGCTGAATGGATTTCAGAGTCTCTACTGCTGTTACAAAAACCAGCATTTAACAGCTTAAAAAAACCAATTACAGGGAAAGAGGGAAAACATAAGTGCCTCTTATAAAAACAAAGCACTGTGAAGCTCCATGTAGGACAAATGTAGGCCACACCGGAGCACAACAAGACACTTAATGCAATGTAAATTAATTTTGAATGTATTTTAAACCCTGGAAAACCCAACTGGTAGATCAGGCACTGCTTTCCTCAAGAGGAACAGCCCCTTGCTCATGACAAAGGGATGTTTGGTACAGCTTTGTGCTATGGGACAGCCATTTGAGGGTATTGCAGTTTTGGGGCCAATGTCACTAGTATTTTTATGATTAATTTATCACTCTTGCACCATCAATATGCATGGTGCATTGCAGAATACAAGAAAACAAAATAGGAAGCTGGTTCGCTCACAATGCCAAGCCGTAGTTTTTCAACAAACCACAAGTTGTTACACAGATGACTAAACAAACCATGGCTTTTTTCTTCACAAACCAGTCTGATATGGACATCGTTCTGCACAATGGTCAGCAAGGCCAGTTTCTCTGTCATGCTGCTTATCTATGAATGCCCTTCCAAGAACAGATGAAATACCCACAGCTGTTTTTGTAAGACAACCTTCTGCAACCTCCTGCCTATGAGAGGTGTTTTGGACTTCATTGCCATTACCCCTGCCAGTGGCTAGCTTTCTGGGTGCTGGTGTCCAACAAAATCTGGAGGGCACCAGATTGGGGAATGCTGTTAGAAAGACATCCCTCAGGCACCAGCCGTTATTGGCTTGTAGAGTTCAAAGCTGTTTTTCACCCAGTCAAAGGGAGCGTCATCCTGCCAAAAGGGATGTTCCTCAGCTCATGGGCTGAGCGCCTGTCGTCATGCTGCTTTAATGATGCTTGAACCTGTGAGAGTTTGAGGATGATCTTCGCAGGCAGCGTTTTCTCAACACCTTTCCATCAGTTTCTCTTTATCATTTGCAGCCAAGGACCACAGAGGATTGGGGGACAGCGCTGGGGTTTGGAGGAAGTGTCAAAATGCATTTGCAGTCCCAAGATGTGCAAGCTGAACTTGTCTCTTCATCGAGTGGACAGCTCGCTTCTGAGTTGTCCTGAAACTTAAGTGCGCTCTGACACAGTGCTGCTGAATAAATAAATGACAGACTATAAACCCCAGGGCAAGATTTATCCTCTCCTCCTGAGAAAGGTCATCAGATCTTCATCAGGCTTGGTGTGGGGGGAAAAGATAATTCAAGATGCACTGACTATGCTGCTTTGAACTGCTGCTCCCTGCAAGTGATGAGTGGTTTTCTGCTTCAAGTCATGTTCTTCTGCTGCAAAACTTGGGGTGAATGCATGTGCAGTCCTTCGGGCATTTCAACCTGGCCTCTCCCCAGGTCACACACCCTCCTGAGCCTCATTCCTCACTAGGCCTGATTTGAATCCTCCTTGTGCGTTTTTGGCACACTCATTGCTATGTCCTCTTTTGCCTCTAGCCCTCTCCTGAGGTTCAAGAACATAGGAAGCTACCTTATACTGAGTCAAACCTTTGGCCATTTAGCTTAGTACAGTCGTACCTTGGATCTCAAAATGCCTTTGCTCCCGAACAATAAAAACCTGGAAGTGAGTGTTCCGATTTTGGAACGATTTTTCAGAAGCCAAATGTTAGGCGTGGCTACCGATTGGCTGCCGGAGCTTCCCGCAGCCAATCAGAAGCTGCGCTTTGGTTTCCGAATGTTTTGGAAATCAAACGGACTTCCGGAACAGATTCTGTTAGACTTCCAAGGTACAACTGTATTGTCTATGTTGATGGGCAGTGGCTTTCCAGGGTTTCAGGCAAGGTTTTCTCACAACCACACCTGGAGATTCCAGGGATTGAACCTGGGACCTTTGCATGTAAAGCAGATGCTCCACTACAGCTATGGCCCTTCCCAAATAAGAGCTTAGGGCTGATGGGAATTGTAGTTGAAAGCATCAGTAAGACACCAGGTTGCTGGAGGCTGGTCTATCCTTAGTAGCAGTGGCTCTGCAGGATTTCAGGCAAGGGACTTTCCCAGCCCTTCCGGGAGATACCAGAAATTCCACATGGGGTCTTTCTACCATTGAGCTACAGCTCTTCCCCAACTCAGAAGGGAGCTCTTCACTTGGATTGGAAATGTGTTTGAAGCTTCCCTTCCTAGCAACCCCAGCCTTGCTCCCCAACTGTCTGTGGTCCTTGGCTACAAGCAGGAACAGCAATTGGTAGAAATGTGCTGAGAAGCCTGATGAAGACCTGGTAGCCTTTCTTGGGCAGGGAGAATGAAGCCTACATCTTGCCCTGGGGATTTATAGCCGGCCATTTTTAAATACAAAGTGGCCCATTTTTAGGCTTTTGTGTAATCAGGGCATTGATGGGTGGGTGGGGGGCAATAGCTGCTAAGGAGTAGTTGGCTGCTCCAAGCACCTGGCATGCGCATCACTCACTCTCATATTGATGGGCAGATAAGGTGGCCCCTCCTGGCGTGATGCCCATGCTGGCCTTCAGCTTCTCTAACAGAATGGGGTGAGCGCATTGCAGAAGAGCAAGAGTTGGCAGGATTTCCTGAGCTCAAAGTACTCTCCCCACCCCCGCGCACTCTCCTGTTTTAAAAATGGAAGCACTCCTTAGAAAGCAGAGCTTTTGGGAAGATGGATGGGTATTTGTTTTTCTGCATTTCCCTAGCGTTATAAGATCTCAGCCTGGAAAATTGCATTCTCTCTGCTTTGATCTGATAAGCAAACTCTATGAATCTGTGCATGGTGTGTGCCTGAAACTTTCATTTGTTTCTCTTATTTGTAAGGCAAAGCCTCACAATATAAGTGCTGTGCTGTTTGGTGCAAAGCACACAGGTTTATATTAGAATTCAGCAACCTATCAGCTTCTGTTTTTGTTTTTTTTTAAAAGTTTCTAGGCCTTATGGTGAAAATATTAGCTGCGAAGTAAGTGGCCAGGGACAGATCATCTCAGAAACTACTGTGGGGAGGCTGAGTTGGATTTCCAGTATTGTGGGTGCTTTATATCTGCCTGGGATAACTCAGTTGTTGGAGCATAAGACTCTTAATCTCAAGGTCGGAGGTTTCTCTTGCCTACAGGGAAACACTGGGCACAGCTGAGAGAGATTAACTCCAAAAACGTTGTGGGTGCTCAGGTACCCATGGCCCCCTATTGTTGGTGCCCCTGGCCAGGGGCTGCTCAGTCAGGGCTTCAACCCTGTAAGGAGGCAAGACAATCCAGGAGTCCCATTGGGAAGCAGGGCACCTCTTCTAATGTTCCTGGCTTCTCCCTCTCTCACTTCATACGCTGTTCCTTCAAAGAACCTGGTTCTAAACCATGTAGAGCAGGTATGGCCTTTAGCCAGATTTCATGTGGGTGCCAAGGAGGCAGAAATGGTGAGAAAGTGGGTGACAGAGACAAGATGTTGGCAGAAATAGGGAGAAAAGGGGATGGCCCCAGCCTCTTTGGTCTTCAGCCCCATCTCCTGCTGGTGTGTGGCCCCTGACAGATTACCTCTGAGGGAATGTAACCCCAGCCAGAAAAAAGGATTGCTCTCCCCTGGTGTAGGGCTTTAAAGGCTATTAGCAGCTCTTTAAATTAGGCCCAGAAGCGACTGGTACACAAAAGGTGCTCTTAGCACCTGGTCCCTACAAACAGCTTTGATCTGTGCTAGGATGTCTTCAGAATCTCACACACCCCGCTCCCGCTTATGTCTCTACATTTGAAGGCCTGCTTCAAGGCCCCTTGCCATCTAAGGTGTGCCAGCTGGGACCTTTTTGGTTGTGCACCCAATGTTTTGGGATGCCCTCTCTGAAGTGGAGGTATCAACTTGATTGCTGCCTGCATTCTGACAGGCAGTGAAAAGCCTTGACCTTTTCTGAAAAGCACCAGCAGATTGATATATACTGCTGCCCACACTGCTGTGCTTTGCTACTGAGAGTTTGGTTTGGTTGGTTTTACTGTTTAATTACGTGTGTGTGTGTGTGTGTTTTCCCCTCCCCCCCCCCATTGTTTTATTTCTCTGTTGTGCATTTTACACTGTATTAAACAGTACTGCTAATTTCTCCTGTGGGGACTTTTTTGACAGAGGGTAAGGTAGAAACAATTTTAATAAAATTATTATTTAGTGTTTTTACCCCGTCTTCCTTATCAGTCAATCAAAGCTATTTAAGAGTAAAAACACAATCAGGCATGAAAATCAATGCCGTCGGAAAACAATGCAAAGCCATAGGGTTGTCTCCAGTGCTAGTCCTACTCAGAGGAGACCCATTTAAATTAATAGACATGACTACTGTAGGTTCCTTAATTTTAATGAGTCTGCTTAAGCAGAACTTAGTTTGGTACAAGAGCACTCTTGTCTCTTGGGGTTTGCTGCAACTCATTCTACAGTTTTAAGACAGCTACTGTAGATAGACAGACAGACAGACAGATATGCAAATATATCCATTGTGGGATATAAGTGTAGTAAGGCAGTAAATATGAACAAGTTACACGTGTATATATAGCTTTTAAATTTTGCTGGTCTTATAGCTTTCAATTGTTCTATGTATACTACTTAATGATTTTTTTTGACCAATGGCTTTATAATTTCTTATAAACAAATAAAAATAATTGATAGTCCGTATTTACCATGTGACAGGTCTGAAAGCTTTCTGTGAAATGTTTCTTTATAAAATGTGGCATGTTCAGGCTCATAAGGCCACAAAAGAGAATTAGGGCTCTTCCTCTTCAGCAGCCTAGCTCTTGGTTTCTAACAAGAGAAGTTTTTCTCGCTGTCCCATGATACAATAACTTGGGCCCATCCACCAAAGTTGAAAGATTCCTGAGAGACAAAAGAAAGCCACTTCTTCACACAGCACATAGGCCACATTTATGCCATACATTTAAAACTCTTACTGATTGGCAGGCGGGTGTAGCTAGGGGAAATGGCCTTGTGAGCTAAATTGGACCCCCTGGTAGGCCAGAGGTCCCCTGCAACTGCTTTATCCCATCCTTCACCAACCTGGTGCCCCCCCCCAAAAAAATACCTCGTACTGCAACTCCCATCAGCCTCAGTCAGTTTGGAGACACTTGTGTAAGACCCCTTGCATGTGTGGTTTGCCGAATTTTGTGATGTTGGAGGAAGGGAGGCCTGGGTGTAGAGTGCAACCCCCCCCCTTAAAAAAATAAGAATGTGTATTTAATGTCTTGTTTTGCCAATGTTCACAGGATATCCTACTGCACAGCAGACAAAGTGCATGACAAGGTGTTTGCCTATATTGCACAGAGCCAGCACAATGAGAACCTGGAGTGCCACGCTTTCCTCTGCACCAAACGGAAAATGGTCAGTATTGTGTTTTAATAGCTGGTTGAGCAATGCACACATTTCTTTGCGGTGAGGTGACAAGGGTGGGGTGATGAAAGCACCTCTTGCGGGCACAGCTTGGACAAGGGAGCATAAGGAACACCAAAGATAATGTAAAACCAGCGGGCTTTCAGATTATGTTTAAGAGTATCCTGGGCTTACTCAAAAGCTTATCCAAAACCCCTGAGTGTGAAGTTCAGCTGTGGGGTGGATAAGCTTTAAATGCGCAGTGGCTCACCTGAACCACACTGACAGATTAGTGATGGGTCACTTGGCAGAATCAATAGCATGGTTTGTAGCAGTAGATTGGCACTTGAACCCATAAGGAGAAGAAGACATAACTTTGACAGATGTAAGTCTGACCTATGTCTGCCTATCTGTCTAAATCAGAGATGGATGATGTCATCCTCTCCAGATGCTGGAACTCCCAACTCACACCAGTCCCAGCCAGTATAACCAAATAGCGAGGTATGGTGGGAGTTGTAGTTCAGCACCACATAGGCTGCCCCTGATCTAAACCAATAAAGACATATTAAGGATATTGGACCTAGAGCAAATAAAACTGAAGGTGCCTTCTGTTGTTTTTCCTGGTATCATCAGCATCCCCAAGTCTAAAAGCTGTCAAATTCTGCAAGTGTGCTGTGACAGGTATATGTGAATCATCAAGAAAAGACTCGGTGCAGATACAAACCCTGCATGTTTGCTAGAGAGGTGGGATGCAAATGCTGAAAATAAGTCAACCTTGCATGTGGTCCTTGCACCTGGTTCCGCATTCATTATGTTCTATTTGGAGAACAGCCCTAGCTGCATGCATGTTTGCATGGAGACAATCTCAGATTCAATCTGTGGCATCTCCAGGCAGCTGGTGGGAGGGGAGAGTTCAGGCCTGGATCTCCCATCCTTTTCTTTCTTTGCTTTTAACCTTAAAGAAAAAACACTCATTGCTTACAAGGTGGCTGAGCACATTTTAAATTACAGGGCTAGTGAGACCCTGGCCACCCAGCATCTTAATATTTCCAGAGATGTCTATACAAATATATATATATATAGTACAGTATGTGCAAATTTGTGTCATGGGCCTGAGCCCATTAAGCCTTTCAGTTTACTTACTTATCGTATTTTTCCATGTATAATACTAGGTTCCCCCCCTAAAAAATAATGTCCAAAATTTGGGGGTGCCTAATACACAGGGGCCATCTCCTTCCATTTTCTTAAATTGGAGTCCCCCAGAATAGGGGGTGTCTTATACATGGGGTCGTCTTATAGACGGAACGGTACTTACTTACTTATTTACTGATTGCATTTATATCCCACCTTTTATCTCAAGGAGCTCAAAGTGCCATATGTGGTTCTCCCCCCATCTCGTTTAATCCCCACAACAACCCAGTGCGGGAGGGTAGGATGAGAGGTGACAGGCCTGGGGTCAACCAGTGAGCTTTGAGGCCGAGTGGGGATTTGAACCCTGGTCTCCCAGGTCCTAGTCTGACACCCTAACCATTGTGCTGCACTGGCTTCTTCAGTGGGTGGGGCGTTTTAATCCCACCTTTTAAAAATACAAATGTATTTTAGATCCTTCTAAGTGTGTTTTAGATCAAATGTGTTTTAGATCCTTCTGTGCTTTGTTTTATGCTGGCTTTAAGGTATATTAATTATTTGTTGTTGTAAATTGCTTTTAAGTTACATCAGTAAACAAAAGCAACTAATAAGTTCAATAAATAATAATAGTACCTTTCAACACCCCTCTTTGCAGATGGCACTTAATTTCTGTTGCAGAGCCTAGCTGGAGAAAAAGCATTAAAAATGAACCCTCAATGTGGGAGTGCTTAAAGAGGAGAACTGGTGGATAGTGGAAGGGTTTGCCCAAGCCCAGGTGCTTTGAACTGCAACTCCCAACTGCTGTGCCAGCTGGGGCTGATGGGAGATGTAGTCCAAAGTATCAAGGGGGCACCTGGTTGACAAAGGTTGGGTTAAGCAGGTGCCTCCCAGTCTCTGATGCTTCCCTAAAAAATTGCACACCATCACATTTGCCTTATGAAGAAAATCCTCTTAATGACGACTTCAGTCTTCAGTGTCATTTCCTAAATGACCTTGTAAACTTTTGATGCAGAAAGAACAACAAAGTTCTTCTCTCTCTCCCCATGGACAAAAATATGTGACATTATAGAAATATGGGGAAAGAGTGCAGAGACCTTGATTGTATGTCTTAGTTTCCCCATCTCTGTCATATAATTAGTCTATATTTTTAGCGGCTGGGCAATTCTCACCCGTATCTGGGTCTATTAAACTTGATTTGAATGTGACAGCCGAAATTGTAAACAGCTGTGAGGAGCTTCATACTTAATTACCATATTTAAGGAGCGGGTTTTTGTTTTTGTTGTTTGTTCTTCTTTACCCATCATAAGAAGAAGAAGAAGAAATGTTTTCCTCTTCCACCAAAGATATAAATGGCTCAGTCTTTCAAATGAGATTTGGCGCAGATACAAGTTTTGTCCATCTCCTAACTTGCTTCTCCCCTGTGGCAAATAAAACTTGCCTGCAGGCCACCCTGTCGTAAGATTTGTAAATTGGGAAGGGAGGTGGTAATTCCAGGCTGTTGGTGAGTCCTGGGTCAGGACCAAACATACATGCATATACTGGTTGCCATTTTGTTTCTGGGTCCAGTTCAGGGCCTTCACATTAGTGTTTAAAGCCCACAGTGACTTTAAATCCCAAGCGGGTGGCGCTGTGGGTTAAACCACAGAGCCTAGGGCTTGCCAATCAGAAAGTTGGCAGTTCAAATCCCCGCAACAAGGTGAGCTCCCATTGTTCGGTCCCTGCTCCTGCCAACCTAGCAGTTCGAAAGCATGAAGTGCAAGTAGATAAATAGGTACTGCTCTGGCGGGAAGGTAAACGGCGTTTCAGTGCGCTGCTCTGGTTCGCCAGAAGAGGCTTAGTCATGCTGGCCACATGACCCGGAAGCTGTACGCAGGCTCCCTCGGCCAATAAAGCAAGATGAGCGCCGCAACCCCAGAGTCGTCTGCGACTGGACCTAACGGTCAGGGGTCCCTTTACCTTTACCTTTCTACTTGCCCGCAGACCCTCTGCTGGTCCCTCTCCCCATCGTCACCCCCCTCTGCAAGTTGAAGAGTGATTCTCTGGAGCCCCCTGTATTGGGAATGGGCATTTTCTGTCAATTTCAGTTTTTCTAAATTGGTTACTTTTCCAATCATTTGTTCTATTCTCCCCATTTCCACATGAGCAGGTACTATTTTTACCAGCGTTTTGCTGCAATTTTCTACTATTTACATGCTTGTATGCAATTTTCCCTAATGCACATGTTTTTGCAAAGTAATATAATGCATTTTGTATGTTTTTGTTTCACAGATATCTGCATTTTTATGCACACCTTGCCCTACCTAGTCTGTGCATTTTTATACACATTGCAGAACATAGAAAAGTGGATATTTTGAAGGATGGCTGTGTTTACGCTTGTGTATTGCTTCAGGAAAGTTTGAATTAGATAGGTGTGCCATTAAGTGCGAACTGAGTCAATTTCCTCTTCCAGCGCCATGCCATGCTCACTGTCATCTGAGTGATGGTCTCTCTGAATGACCATCCTCTCTATCTTGTGCCCTGCTGTGGGGGTGGCTACCTTATTGGTCTCCTCTCACTTAAGTTGGTGGAGTGAAATTCCTGTGCCAGGGCTGGGGGTATTGATAAGGAAGTGGCTATGGATTGATAGGGTGCAGGATATGGCGCACATGGGCTTCACCCACCCTCATTGCCTAAGGCAGCTTTAAAGGAGCATCACTGGTTTGGTCACGCTGGGCATGCAGCCTCGGGAATGCTGCAGGGGATGCTGCAACTATAATTTAGAATGGAGCATGAGAGGCAGGGGGACACCGAATTTTGGGTGCCGCTGAAATTTGAGACCCCAAGGGTTCCCACCCTGTATCTGCAGTGGCAGAACAGCTCCACTGACAGTGCGTTCCTCTGATGTGTGCAACATGTCTGGCCTTCTGCTTGCATAGCAGGACTTCCCTTGAATCCTCTCTCTCTCTCTCTCTCTCTCTCTCACACACACACACGCACACACACCCCAGCTCAAAAATTTCAAGTAACGACGTGTGCCTCAGTTGATTAAATGCCGAAGTCTTTATTGTTGGTTTTATTACTGTGGCGTGCACCCACTATCTGTGCTTTCCAGAAACAATTGAATGCATTTTTATTTTGACAAGCTTTAGCAGCAGGGTGCCATTGGTGCTTGTTTTGTTTTGTTTAAAATCTGTATTTAGTTGTGTTCGGTAATGCACTTTAAACTATTTTTAGCTGTTTCCAAAAATATATAGCAGATGTTAATTTTAGGGTGCACTCTGCTCTGATATTTTTCTCGATTTCAGCGGTATAGAAGTTTTGGTATAGCATGTTTCAATCAATGAGATAGCTTCAGCACTGAGAAGCACTTGTGCAGCTACAGCTCCTTTTGATTTTGGTATTTTTAAAGACAGATTTTGTGTAAGGAATCCAGTCCTTCCGTTTCAAGTGCAGGGTGAGTCAGTAACACCCCTCTCTGCATGCGCACACACAGAATTTTAGCCCAAGTCCTGCTGAGTCCCCACTGGCATGGCTAAACTGGTCTGTAAGCACACGTGTGGTTGAGAAATCCAGAGGACCACTTTAGTATGGGCTTGTTCAGTCTGGCTCTCAGCCCTCATCTCTCCCCCCACCCCCCAAGAAAAAGTCATTACAGATTGAATATAAGCACCCCAAACGAGTGTCTGAACTCATTCTCCGAGTTCTGCAGCTGCCTCTCTCCATAACAGTGGGCACCGCTGCTGGCATCAATATTGAATTAAGTCTTGAATGGTGGCATGGGACTTGTAGAGCCGTAGAATGAGGAACGAGTTCCTGGTTTAACATCTCTCAGCTGCGCGGAACCTCCAAATGATTTAAATCTACATGAAGAACTGTCTATTAATACACCGTTATAATCGCTGTTGTATCTTCTTCTTCTCCCAGGCTCAAGCCGTCACCCTCACAGTTGCTCAGGCGTTCAAAGTAGCATTTGAATTTTGGCAGGCGTCCAAGGAAGGTGAGTGTGGGAACTTACATCTGCCTCTCGCTGCCTTTTCGGCACATCCCAGCCTTCCCTAACCTGATGCTCTCCAGATGTTTTGCTTCCATCATCCCTTACTATTGGCCATGCTCCCTGGGGCTGATGGGAGTTGGAGTCCGACAACATCTGGAGGACACAAGGTTGTAGAAGGCTGATGTATCCAGAAAATTTGTAGCTGGTGTATTTTGTGTGTGTGTGTGTGTGTGTGCGCGCGCGCGCATGCGCGCCTTTTGTTGTTGTTGTTTGACTTTTTCCCTAGGAGCAAAATGGTCTTTTTATCCCTTCACTTTTAAAAATCAAACTAACAAAAAAACACCAACCAAGGCTCAGTCAATAAAATTTCAGATTACTCTGCTCATCTAAGCACATGCCTGTTTATTTATTAAGTTGCTGTTTCACAGTATTTACGGTATATCCTGCTTGATTGTTTAAAAAAGTGATTTACAAAAGGATAAAACAATGAAATTATCAGTAAAGATCTGTTAAAAACAACCATTTGAAACCCTCAGAAGTAATTAGCATCAGCTAAAAACACATTAAACTGCACAACAGCATTCTACATATCTGGATAGACTTGCCTAAATAAAAATGTTTTCCCAATTGGGAACCCCTGAACTAGTTCATTTGAGGACAGATGTTCCTGGTCTAGGAATTTTGGGTCATGGGTGGCAGATCGCATTTAGCTTCCCAGTACCTCATAGCACTGTCCTGAGGGAACTTTTCAGGGAATCTCACCATGTGCTACCATCTCCTGTGCCTGGGTTTAAAGTCTCATGCCTCCCTACTCATCTGCTGTTACCCAAAGGTCTCTTCTCTTCAATTATACCAGCAATCATCCCCTTCCTTGCTTTTATGCTTAAAATGGCCTCCCAGAACACTGATGCAATGCCACTTCACTCTTTCCTCCTCAAAGCCCACTTTCCCCACCCATGTATTTTTCTTAACCCCAAGATTTGATCCCTAATGGAAAGAAAGGCGTGAAACAGATGTCTTTCCTGTCAGGCACGACTCACACATTTTCCTGCTACATCTTTTCTCCTTCACTTCTCTACTGAGATGCATGTCTGTCTTTGCAGCATTGATCTGCATGCGCATACACGCACTCATGCACACGATGCTTCAGGCAGGCTTTTGGTGGAGCTTCTTAACTTTTTTTTCTCAGGCACCCAGCATTTTTAGCTATTTAAATAAGCATTTGTGCCTCTCTCTCTCTCTCTCTTTTTTAATTTTCAAAACTTTCCTATGAAGTTAAAATTATAGCCTGGTAAGAGATTTAGAATAAAAACAGAAAGGAAAAGAATGGAGGGTGGGGGAGAACTTCTACAAAACAAAAACAGCTTTCACAGACATTACCATGTAAAATAAAATACATTTTCAAGGGACTACACTATAAATTAGATGCTACAACAAAAACTAACCTGATACAGAGAGAAGACAAAACAAATGTTATGAGTACCAGATAAAAGCCATATTTCACCAGGACTAGCCATTCCCTTGATTGGCCTGTCATATAAGTAACAAATAGCCACCAAATGGAGACAAAACCCATAGGTTTGGCTGCACCCTGGGATACCCTTTGTTTATGAGTCAGTTTCTCAGAAGTGGCAATATACATGACTATATTAAACAAAAAAGGGAAAAACCCAAGGATTCCTTCCAGCCCTGTGAAATTTGTGTCTCTCTCTTTTTAAATTGAAAAGCCTATTCTTTACATATAAGTACATATATAATATTTACACACACACACACTACTATGAGGCACAAATGTTACTATGAGTAACAAAACTGAGTTGTTGTTTTATTCATGTGGCATTCATGTGCCCATCGTTCTGCCCGGACACAGGTCCAGCGCCGAGGGTCTTCTGGCGGTTCCCTCACTGCAGGAAGCAAAGTTACAGGGAACCAGGCAGAGGGCCTTCTCGGTAGTGGCGCCCGCCCTGTGGAATGCCCTCCCATCAGATGTCAAGGAAATACACAACTATCTGACTTTTAGACGACATCTGAAGGCAGCCCTGTTTAGGGAAGTTTTTAATGACCGATGTTTTAATGTATTTTTAATCTCTTGTTGGAAGCCGCCCAGAGTGGCTGGGAAAACCCAGCCAGATGGGTGGGGTATAAGTAATAAATTATTATTATTATTATTATTATTTATTATTTATTTAACAGTCACTCTTGAAGGTGACTTTGTGATTGTCACAAGGGCCAGCCAATCAGTGTTCTGCACCATCAGTCTTTCCTTGAAACAGGTGCCAGTAGCTCCGAGCTTCAGTTAACTTTTGAAATGTATGCATCTCTGGCCTACGTACAGTGATACCTCGGGTTACATATGCCTCATGTTACATACGATTCAGGTTACAGACTCCACTAAGCCAGAAATAGTACCTCGGGTTAAGAACTTTGCATCAGGATGAGAACATAAATCGTGCTCCGGTGGCATGGCGGCAGTGGGAGGCCCCATTAGCTAAAGTGGTGCTTCAGGTTAAGAACAGTTTCAGGTTAAGAACGGACCTCCAGAACAATTAAGTACTTAACCCAGGGTACCACTGTACCTGTAATTGCATTTACTCTCATTCACCTTCCCCCCCCCACCATTCTCCTCTATGCTTCTTATAGTCGCCTGACTTGCAGAAACTTATCAAGTGATGCTCCTTCCATCTCCTTCATCTCTCTGTCAGCAGAAGCTTCCCTTGTGCTGATTCCCCTTGTTCTTCCGGCCCTTCTGAGGAGCCTGACAGTTGGCAACACAACCCCTCTGCCTCTCCTCCCTTTGGCTGAAATCTAGTTTGCAAAAGCTGTTTGGGCAGAGGACTGTTTCTGGCTTATGGGAGCCTGTAAAGCACTGGGTATATTGTTAGTGCTGTATAAACTGTATTATATGAACACAGAAAGCTGCCTTAGGATGAGTCATCTAGCTCAGTGCTGCCTACTCGTACTGGCAGCAGCTCTCCAGGATTAGCTCTCCTTTTATCAGCCCTGTGACCTGAGAGCCTTTCGACTGGAAGCATGGGGATTTGAATCCAGGATCTCCTCCATGCCAAACACTAGCTGGGCCACTGAGCTAGCTCCTACAAAGCCACATTATAATATGCTTCAATGGGGGGGATATCTCCCTTTTCTCTCTCTAATAGAAGCACATGGGTGGTTGCCTAGCAACCACCCCGGCCTAAGGATAAGGAGACATGTGGCTCTCCAGCTGTTGTCCAGCTATTGGTGTCCCTAACCATTAGCCATGCTGGCTAAGGTGGATGGGAGTCCATAAAAACCTGAAGGGAGCTAGAAGGAGCAAGGCGGGTGGTTGCTAGGCAACCTCCCCTCCCAAGTGTTTCCCGCCATTCTCATCCATCACCGCCATCTCACGCAGGCTCTGAAGAAATGCTGGGCCTTCCAGTCCTGGCCAACTGTGTGGTGCCAGTGGAGGATATGTTGATAACTAGAAACCATCTGTCCTTTTGTCAGCGGTGGCCTGGTTAGCGCAGCTGCAAGCAAGATCGGCAGCCTTCCAGGCAGACTGTAGGCTTGATTGGATGGCCTTCCCGAGTCTTGGGGTCATGCCAGTATGAAAAGGCCCTCCTTGTCGCCTGCACATGTTCAGCAATTTGGCACTGGTGAAAGGTTGGTTGCAGGGAGAGAGATTTTGTTCCCTGGAAACCCCTTTCTCCACTTCGCTGCCCTCCGCACATTTCCATGGCTAAGGTAGATGAGAAGCAGTGCCCGTCTGCGCGCCAGGAAGCCCAGACCTCTGCAAATCGAATCTCCCCCTGCCAGGCATTTACAACAGCCTCATCCTTGTAAGAGATCTCTCCGGTATTCAGTTTGCTTTTGGAGGCTGGGGTTAGACCATTGGCATCTGGGAGTTGGGGACTGGTGTCCATTATCTCCCTTAATTAGATCTTAATTTATTTTAACAGTGGCCTCATTTGTGTTTTATGTGCTGTTCAGCCACCCCGGCCAAAAGGCAGGATAAAAATATGAATTGAAATAATGCATCTGTAGCTCTCGAGGCCTTGAGATAGCACAGTCAAGCAACATGAATAAGGTGCTAGATTCCAGTCAATGTAGGTGCTAAGCCATCTTGGGGACACTTCGTATTTTACGATTTGCTATGCAGAGATCCATTTCCATGCAGGAAAGGGCTTGTACTCTATATCAGTTGAAATGTATTTTTTTTTCTTATGCCAGGTGATCAAGTGTGCCATTTCTTTTCAGATCACCATCTTCTGCAGCCACCTCCTAACAGCTGCTCTGGACTGCTCATTCATTTTTTTCCTCCTAGTGCTCATTTAATTTCCCCCCAATGCCCTCAAGGTAGGAATGCTCTGGGGCATTGTGGGAAATTAAAATAGCAGTCCCACAATGCCCTGGAGTCAAGCTGTGGCAGGGGCACTGTGGGAAATTTCAGTTGTTGGTGTTCAGAGCATGGGCATAGCCAGGATTTTTGTTGGGGGGGAGGACTTTCATTAGGGGGGGCAGAGCTGACATGATTGGTCAGTTAAGTTGCTTTACTTGATGAGGGGCAGCTGCCCCCCTTGACTACACCCACGGTTCAGAGGACCATTTTTGCAGGGAAAGCTCCCCCCGCCCCCCGGGCTAGAGCCAGGGGAGGTATTGGTGCAGATAAACGTTTATCATATGTGATTGGAATTCTTAAATCCCTGCGCTGGCTTCCACGGGTGTAGCTATGTTATTGAATAACTATATTATTAAATCCAGCCCGCTATTCTTATTATTTCTGTTAGGTACTTCGAGTCTCTCCAGAGAATAAAGAAGGAAATAAAGGGTTTTTTAATGAAAAAAAATCCTAACAGAGAAAGCCACGCCACTTAAACCTTGGAGCCAAACTTTGCCTCTTGCCAGCTTAGTCAGTGTACTTGTGCTATAAATGGTGCCTCTGATACTGACGCTCATTTGCTCTGTCCTTACATTAGGACTGAAGAGGATGTTGTAAAGCGGGGGGGGGGGGCTTTTACAGCCTGGGTATGCTGGGTAGCTTTCCAAGGGCCCCATCCCAGTGGTGGACGGGGCCAGAGGAGAAAGTGAGCAGAGCAAGAAGGAGTGTAAATTTAACCTTTTGGTACAGTAGGCTACCTTTCTACACACACTCACAAACCCCTCTCTGGCCTCCATCCTGACAAGCAAGCAACATTGTCAGAGCTGAACAACACATGCTGGCCAGACAAAAACACTTAAGGAGGATGTGAAGCAGGGCCAGTGGGGGGCATGGCCTGGAGAGCATCCCAAGATCCAGATAAAGAGACCTAAAGGGGCCGCATTTGGCCCACAGGCCAGAGGCCCCTCACCCCATTGCATGCAAGGTGTGGAAGCAACTTCGTGGCTTGTTAGAGAAATCAGCCTTTAAAACTTAGCCTTTAAAACTGTATTTGTCTGTCTTGTGTCCCCACCACAGAAAAGCGGGAAAAGGCCATCTCCGAAGGAGAAAGCACCAGCAGTCCAAGTTTGGATAGTTCTGCCTCATCAAAAGGATGTAAGTGACTAAAGAAACAGATTCTGTTCAAAGGAAATGTGGGGTGAAATTGCCTGCCTTGTGTACCATGCCAGCTCATTGGTCTGTCTTGCCCAGTACCTGCAGCCTCTCGCCAGGGTCTTCAGCTGCTGAGATCCCATACGGCATCTGCTCTGCATGCAGAAGGGCCTAGGCTTAGTGTGGTCAGAATCAAGGATACACTTCCAGAGTTAACACTAGATACATTACTTCTGGTAAATGAGCCATCATAGTTGCTAGAGGACCATGAAAAATTGTGTCCTGGGCTTTTTAGACTCGTCGGCCCATGTACTATTTGAAACCAAAGGGGTGCATTGGTTGCCAGATTTGAAATATATTGGCATTATTTTCAGCTCTCCTATCCTGCTAATAGCATTTTCTGCTCCCTCCCCTTTTGTCACTCAGTCCAAATTGGGCTCTTCACTGCCAACAGTCCTCCCCAAACACTCAAAGGTTTTCCCCCCCTTTCTTCATTTTTAAATTCTGGAAACATTGAGATTTCTCCAAGCCTGCTAAAACCTCCTGGTGCTGGGTGGTACCTTTTTAGCTGCATAAGGAACAGCACCCACAGTCCAAACACAGAAGATAGAGGCAGTTATGATCTGTTCCTTTCTGGGATTTTCCACCTGGGCCCACTTGACCTTCCCTCTCTTGCACACATGCACAAACGTTCACCATACAAGTCTTGCAGAAACTAAAGAGAGGGTGTGGGTGGGTACAGTTCCATCTCTGGTTGTCAGTGGTCTCTAGTAACTGAAAATCCTTCCCCATCTCCTGGAGACACTCAGATTCAGGTGCATGTCATGTATACAGATGTCACTGACCCCCTGATTGAAATCCATCAAGGACTTAGCAGTCCTTTTGACCTCTGTGACTCCTCCATCATGCATCCTACGTGCCTGTTATTCCTCAGGGAGGCGAAAGGAAGGGGGGAGAGGGAGGCAGGCAGGCAGCCCTCCACACTCCTGCAAGCAGCTTTCTGAAAACCGCTCCCAGGGACCCATTAAAACTCTTAGCGGTCTGGATTGTGCAGCTTGCAAAAATGGGGTCATGCCTTCCGAGTATTGTTTTTAAGCTATATCCTCCTTGCAATTGTCTGGTGGCAAAGGCTATCTTCTAAAGCTTGCGTGGCGCAAATAGCCTCAAATGAACTGGCGGGGCAGGGAAGGGGGGGGGCAAAGAGGGGACAGCCTGTCTTCTTCCCCTCCTGGCGGGTGAGATGCTGCAAAGTGGCACTGAGGAAGTCATCCATAAAAGGGGCTCCCGTCCAAAGCGGCTGCGTCGTATTGATCCGCATGTATATTTGATGGGGAAGAAATCCTCTTTAACATCCACTCCATTCCAAAAATGCCTCTCAGGGTAGCACAGATATAAGTCGACGAAATGGCTGGCTCTGAAGGGCTGGATAAACTTTCCGTGCCCAGAATCTTTAAATCTGACCTCTGCTTTGGCTTTGTCCAATATCTTTGAATCTGGAGTTTGGGCTTTTTTGTGGGTCTTTCAGCTGATTTCAAAGTAGTTAATCTGCCTCTTGACAGATGCAGATGTTGCTGAAGCTTCGGTTACAGGTGCCTCCTGAGGTTCTGAAGGAAGGGCTGTAGCTCTGCCGCTTGCTCTGCATGCCAAAGGCCACCCCCCCAGCTTATTTTATTAATTTACCACTACATTTATACCCCACCTTTCCTCCAAGGAGCTTGAGGTGGTGTGTGTGGTTCTCTTCATTTTTATCCACACAACAACCCTGTGAGGCAGGTTAGGCTGAGAGACTGTGGCTGGCCCAAAGTCATCCAGTGAGTGCCATGGCTGAGTGGGGATTTGAACCCTAGTCTCCCACTACACCACGCCAGCAGCAATCCCCAGCAAGATTCCCTGTCTAAAACCCTGGAGAGCCGCTCAGTGGAGGCAATAGATCAGGGATGGGGGAACCTCAGGCCTCCCCACATGCCTCTCTGTCTGGCCCTTGGGACACACACCCTCCCAAGCTGCAGCCTAAACCAGCCTGACTTTGCAACCTTTTTTACTGTTTTTGCCTGGATGGAATTTGTCCTCGAACACTGATAATGTTCTTGGCATACCTGCATGGAGGACAGAGATAGGATGTGGCAGTGTGAAGAAACTAGCCTTCTGTGCAAAGGTAACATTCACATTTATTTGGCCTTTGGCCTTGCCCACCATTGCCATATGGCCCCTGGAAGCTTCCCCATCCCTGCTGTACATGACTGGCTCTAGGTATTTTGGTGACTAAGGTGGTACGAATCTAACAGGTAGTCCACACGTTAAGTCACTTGGGACGTGATGCTTCTCCGTGAGGCCCTTCTTCGTGTGCCCCCTCTATGGGAGGTTGGGAGGGCAGCAACACATGATTGGGCCTTTTCAGTGGTGGCCCCCTCTTGTGGAACGATTTCACCATGGAGGCACTCCTGGCACCCACTTTGTTTTTTTATGTGCCAGGCAAAGGGCTGCCCCTCCCTTCGACTTGTCACATGCTTAGAAAACATAGGTCCAAAGAGTTTTCCACTTGCCCCATGCTTTCAAGGCACAGATCCGAGCAGTTTTGCTTTTACCCCACTACTTTCCCCCCGGAAAACCCACTCTTTAGCGGTACATCAGAACCAAGAGCAATCCACGGAAAATCCATTGCCATTTGCTCCACAGGTTTTTCCAGGGAAAAGTGGTGGGACAAATGGAACTGCGAATGAGACCTTTCTCCTTACCCAGACCCTTGGCCCTTCATGCAGCACATAGATAAACTATGGAATTCAAGTGATGGTCATCAACTTGGATGGCTTTGAAAGAGCCATATCGTCTATGAATCCTATCAATGGCCATGTTCTGCCTTCAATGGCAGGTGCAATATGCCTGTTAATGCAAGGGACTCACAAGCAGGACAAGTTGCTGTTGTGCTCAGGTCCTGCTTCCGGGCTTCCCATCAGACTCTGGTTGGTCACCATAACAAACAGGATGCTGGACTAGATGGGCCTTTGGTCTGACCCAGCAGGCTTTCCTTATGTTCCTGTTGTGTGCATCTCACACCGAGATTAAGCTAGCACAGAAGAACTTTCCCAGTGAGTCACGTCACAGGCGAGACACATCTGCCTCTTTCTCACTCTGCCATCCTTAATGGCACCCAAAATCTGCCAGCTGACATCTCCCCCTCAGCTTGACTCCTCATGGAGGAGCCCGCAGATGAATTGGTGCCCCGCAGCCTGTCTCCAAAAACTCCCAACTCCTGTGCATTGTAAAGGATTTCTGCAATTCAAATATATGCTTATTTGAAAGAGAGAGAAAACAGAAAAGTAGGACATACTGCCAGTGGAATGCAAAGATGTGTTTTCCTAAAAGGTCCTGCAGGAATTTTCATTCATTGGAAAAGCTGAAGGATCTTAAATCGAAGCAGGGTAGACTTGGAAAGGAGTGCTGTGTTGTGCTCGGGGCAGAGTATAAAATGGGATCAATGTGGTTGCTCTGCACTGAGAGTGGAGGATGATGCTTTTCTGGCAGAAGAGGATGAAATAAATATCACGCCACAGGCCATTAGGACTCCGTCTCAGAGCCTGGTTTTAATACTGCTTCCTGGACCTTGTGAAGTAGAAGTAACAGAGTTATCTCTGATCATTTGCAGAGTGCCTGTATCTCTCTCCAGTGACAAGCCATGCTCAGTCTGTTCCCTCCAAAACACACAAACAGGCCATTTCCACACCATTTAAAGCACCGTCAGACCACTTTAACAGTCGTGGCTTCCCCCAAAGCATCCTGTTAATTGTAGATTGTTAAGGTGCTGAGAGTTGTTAGGAGACCCTTGTTCCCCTCACATAATTTCAATTCCCTGAGTTCCCAAGGAAGAGGATTAATTGTTAAACCAAACAGGGACACAAAAATCTTAACATTTCAAAAGCTATTAAAAAAAACAAATACATACATGTCTGTGCTAAAAGGGCAACCCCCACTCATATGCCAGAGGGCCCAAACAGCCATTCTTACTGGACTACAAATCCCACCATCCCTGACCATTGGCCATGCTGGCTGGGGCTGGTGGGAGTTGAAGTCCACCAACACCTGGAGGCCCAAAGGTTCTCCAACCCCGCTTACAAACCGTTTTTCTCCTACGCCTCATCTTCTTTAATTCCCCCTTTCATTTCTGTCCACCTGCAGCGGTCACCACAGGGAACCTGTTAGACCTAGAGAATGTTGCTAAAATTCCCTTGACTGTCAATGCAAACTCCACGCAGTCAGACGGAAGCATCTTTGGGCCACATTCATCAGAAAACAACAACGTCATGTGGGTAAGTGTGCTGTGCGCGCATACTAAAATCTTGGTAAAATGTGCAGGAGGAAGAATTCACGTGTTACTGTGAGGAGGAGTGGGGAAGCTTTGGCTTGCAGGTTAGATTAACTGCAGTTTAAGGTTCAGACAAAGCCCTAAACTGTGGTAAGTGTTAACTGTGGTTTGTTGAAACAAGCAATTTCATAAGCCATCAAACTATACTGTACATCATATTAAGCCACAGTTTCTTGGGTCAGAAGACCTGACAAGCTATGATTAATCAGAAGCTTCCTGGCTCCTCCTTGTGCTGGGGGAGGAGGAGGAAAGGAGTGTGAGAGCCCGCTGCTCATTCTCATAATGAGCATAGTTAATATGACATCTGCCTGGTGGCATTTATCTTTCTCCTGGCGGTGATGTAACACAAAGGTGCAGCGGAAACAGAGTGATAGATAAGCAAGGGACATTGGCAGGGTGCACTAGTCCTGGGATAAATAGGGTGTATGTTTGCATGTGGAGAAAGAGAAGATGAAGAATGGATGGAAGAATGAATGGCATGTATGAAAGAAAGAATGAATTGGATGAATGAGGTATGTGTGCATAGATGAAGCTTGTGGTGTCTGTGTATGAGATAAAGGATAAATGGATGAAGGAGGGAAGAGAGAGAGGGCAAGGGGATGGGAGGGAGAGAAGGGGGTCTTTCTTTGCACTTCTGGCTTTGGCCCCACACATAGGTAACTGTGACACTGCCCCCCATGGGACTGCAACCCCTGACCACTTTTCCTTGAGGGAACACTGTCCCCAACTTCAAAAAGTTTGCCCATCACTGGTCCACGCTGATAGGCAGCAGCTTCAGATGAAAGGAGGTATACAAATTTAATAAAAAAAGAACAAAAACTTCCCACCGAGGATCCCCTGATTTTGGTCATTTTATTTCATTCATAAAAGATTTCTTACCTACTCTTCATAATGATCCATGGAGGGTCACAACAGTATACAGATATATAAAGAGATATAAGAACAAGTGAAACCATTCCAGATAGAACAGACTGGACTAAGTCTCCAAGGCACCCCCAGGTCCCTCAGAACATTTTTCAAACTACTGCTTTCTGTAGTCATTGTCGTTGTCCCCCTTATACACACACCTCTTCTTTTTTAAGAAATTGCAAAGAAAATGCAAAATCCACCCTGTAATGCTTGCCTGCTAGCTGGGAGCTGGGTAACTGTCATTTCAGATTGGTCTAATTTTCCTCCCCCTTCTCTTTATAACAAAGGCAATGGACGACGGACTGGATGAAGCTTTTTCAAGGTAATTTTCTTAATTTGTTTCACGAGTGTCTTTCCACCAGGGGACTGCCCAGGAAACAGACTTGATTAGTGACTGCTCTTTAAAAAAAAATATCATTTTAATGTTTCTAATCGAAATTGTCTGCTGTGCTCTGACCCTTTCAGAGGTGCTCTGTTTGCCTAATTGAACGATGGGATTTGCAGCCGCCTGGATAAGTCAAATATTTTGATAACTTCTTAGGGCAGGAGCTAATTTGTGCATAAGGTGGGGAATTAAACTCCCTAAATGATGTAGCCCTGGCTAGAAGATGTTTGCCGTATGCATGAGCAGAGGTAGCAAATTGAAGGCGCAGTATTTCAGATCCCCACCTGCAGGCAGAGGGGTACCTCTGCACCCTTGGCAAGGAGCTCTATCAGCACTTCCTCCCACCCAAAAAAGAATACCACAGTAGCCACATTAGAAATCACAACATTTTACACGACCCACGTCCAGGGTGAGGGCGAGGCAAGGAGGAAGGGCGAAAAATATTGCACGCCTTTGTGCTGAGGTAGGAGAAGAACAAGAAGCTTCTTCCATGTTTGATTTCACTGCAATAGTGGCAGTGCATCACCAGACACATAAACGTCAGACACTTCATAGTCTGATAGGTGATTTTTGCACCCCCAGAAATGGAGGAGGAGGAGGAATTTGGCCCACTGGCTGGTTTCTTAAAGGATGGGATGCAGGGACTGCTAGCTACCACTTCTTCTGGTGCCCCTTGCCCACCCTCCAGAGGTCCTCAGCAGCTGCTCCAAAATCATTCCTGTAAATTGTCTGGAGTGGGATTATCAAAATGGCGCCCTTGGTGTCTTCTCCACAAACCTCTGAGCCTCCCTCTCACTGCTCATTTGGTCATGAGGTGGTGAGGGTGGCTACATTTTTCTCCCTTGAAAAGTACATAGAGCTGATGGAAGAAGTTGGAAGAGGGACGCTCTTTCTCACTTCCTCTTCCAGCTCTATGTCTTGTCCAAGACACTGATGAATTCTGTTGGATTCAGCTTTTAGCTAGATACCTTGAGAAAACAGTGTGTGAGTGTGTCTGCATACATACACGCTTTCTCTCTCTCTCTCTGTCTTTGCCTCTCAGACATGGTGTGTGTGATCTGGTGGCAAAGGGAGAAGTGACCACAGCACTTGCTCAAAATTCCAAATATGACCACAGGCCTAAAATGTTTGGCGGTCCCTGAGCTGGCTCAGTGTATGGCAGCTTCCTCTGGCTCTGGGTTCCGTATGCATGGCCACATCGGCAGGGTGTTTTCACAAGTGATGTTAAAAGCACTTGTTAGAACTTCCCGGGTGTAATTTCTGAATGTGGAGTGATGTGCAGAGATTCTCCTCCTGACATAGGGAAGCAGGGCAACCTGGGGCCACTCAGCAAAACAACAGCAGTAACAACCAGGCGCCTTAAAAATTAGGTGCCTAATAAAAAAAATAAGTACGTAATTGGAGGCTGGCTGCTGAATGAAACCAAAGGCTCATTCTAGTCTAGACTCTTATTCTCGGAGAGGCCAGCCAGATGCCTGTGGGAAACAGACAAGCAGGGCATGAGCACAACAGTTCTCTCCCCGCTTCTGATCCCCAACAACTGGTATTCAGAAGCATTGCTGCCTCCGAAAGTGGAGCCAGGAGCCGCTGACAGCTTTATCCTCCTTGATACAAAACCCTAAACATGAAGTTTTGCGTTGTACTCGGGAGCTAAGGTCCACAATCTCAGGGATCAGGTTCATTAAAAACCACAATGCACCATTAATGCAACCCTTAAAACGTAAAGCCTCATTTAAATGCAGCACTGCAAGCAGTTGACCACCATTAAGGCTGAAACAGCGCAAAGTATTTATTCTTATTTTTAAGATGAAGCATTGAACTCGGAGCTTTACTAATGCAGAAGTAACGAAATGTGCATGTTTGTCATTTTTACGAACACATTTGGGCAAGGTTGTCAGCGTACAGTGTTCTCTGCAGAAAAAGAGACAGCCCTGGTTGCCGGATGGTGCTGGTTCTCCTCTGTGGTGCAACTTGAGAGGGGCACAGAAGATGAATCCAAACAGAACAAGTTATTAGCGGGGACAAGACCCTCCAGCCTGTGGGAGGGGCAAATGTGGCCCTCCAGGCCTCTCTACCTGGCCCTTGGGAGCCTCCCCAAGTCACACCTCCACCCTAGACAAAATCCCCTCTCCTCAGTCTATACCCCTCACTCACACAGCTTCAAGTCTTTTTGTCTGGAGGGGATGTGGAGAGTGAGAATGCCTCTTTTTGTCTGGATGGAGAGGGGTGTGTGTAGAAGCCTCTGACTTTTGCAGGGCTGGAATGTAGCCTGCTGTACAAAGGCAAGAGTTGCATTTCTTGCTCCTTCTCCTTTTTGCCTCTGCCCGTGCTTACCCCTGGCTTGCAGCCCCTAGAAGGTTGCTCTGAGTGAAAAAATGCAGAACCTCTGGAAGAGGTTCCCCAACCCTTGTGGGAGAGCAAACCCCTCCCCCCCCAAAAAAAAATTCCCAGCTCAAAGAGCAGACAGAAATTCACTAGATGCTAAAACGTCTCAGAATTTTCCGACATTTTTTTAAAAAAAATGATTAACTTGTAAAGGGTGTATGGTGATATGCTGTGGCTTCTATTGAATCTGAGTTGTGCCGTCTTCTGCCCTGAGTGTAGCCTGAAATACTGATCCCTAGGAGCAGGGAGTGGTCCTTATATGCATGGCTCTGTGGGGAGCTGGCTATCTCATGCTCCTTCTCCTCCACCCACCCACCTCCATCTTCATAACAGCCAAGGGGTAGAAATTCAATTTAAAGGCAAGCCTGCCTGCTTGGCACTTTCAGAAACCATACAGAAACCAAAACAGCCGTGCTTCAAAATTCTCATTTCTCAAAATTTTGCAATTCTGTTCTCCAGCTAAGTAATGTGTACAGAAAATGCATAAACCAGGAACATAGGAAGCAGACTTTATACTAAGCCACTTGTGCATCTACCTCAGTATTGTCCACACTGACCAGCAGCAGTTCTGCAGGGTAAAGTGTGCCCCAAAATTAATAGGTTGGTGAAGATAACATATAGTACAAAAATGCATTATATCAGGGAAGTTATATTTGCAATTCTATGTATGTTAGGGGAAATCGCATAACAAAACATCTGTGCATTAGGAGAAAGGTGCCCCAATAAGCAGATAATTTTTATGAGGCCTTTTTGGGGGGCGGGGAGGGGGGAGGCAAACTGATTTGGAAATGTGAACTGAAGCCTGGAAAAACAAGAAACAAAAACCTTAATCATCGGATTTGCTCATCCCTGCATGGGACATTCAGTGATTGAATCTCCCCACTTTGGAGAAAAGGGCTTAAAAGCAGCCACAGGTTCCTCTAGTTTAGATCAGGTTGTAGTGCCTGGGATAACTCTTCCCTGTACCATTTCTGTGATAGAAGCCTGCTAATAGCAACACCTTCTTCCTGCCTTCTCCATAGCTAACAGCAGCCTGCAAAAGGGAGGGGGATTTTAAGTGGAACCCCTAAACTGCAGCATCCTAAGTGCAACAGTCTATCTGGCCCAGTCTGCAACCGTTATTTCTGCTTCCCACATACTCAGTGTTTGCATGAGGTTAACAGAACAGTGCTGCAATAAAGTAATCCTAATGGATATGCAAGTAGAACTTCCGGGGGTGGTGTGTGTTTATGTGTGTGTGTGTAATCTCCCTTGCCCCGAAATTTCTGGTGATGCCAGCAGACGCTGAACAGTTGGGATTGCTGCTGCCATTTCCAATCCCTTTGCCACTGTGCTGCTGTCCTGAGGAGTTAAGATTCCTGATCTCGTCTCCAGAAACATCGAGTGCTGCCATGAGCAACTGGAATTTAATGCAGACAGTGCTGGAGAGACGTTGTGGCGGCCTGTCCATACAAATCGCCCCGCAGGGAGGCAAATTGAGACTTTCCAATGTGGCACTTCGTATATATATATTTGCTGCTGCTGCTTTTGGTCAGTGTGGCCTTTTGCCATTGAGATGTGGCCTCAACTAATGATGTGTCAAGTTCCCGCTAGAGTGAGTGGTCTGTGCGTGGGTATAGACTAGCAGGGAGTGCCTGGCATTGCTTGGGAATTCAAAGAACACACCCACCCCCGTGTGAATTTTAAATAGGGTAATTTGTGAGTTTGGGAACTGTGCACACACAGAGAGAGAGAGACATGGCTCATTGCATTCAACAGCATCCAAACATCCAACCAGATCGCCCTGGGATGCCTGCAAATGCAAGAGCACCTCTTCTGTCTTGGACTTGGCAGAAACTGGTATTTAGAGGCATACTGCAAAAGGTCCATCCTGCTTTCTACCACTGCCAGTTAGATGCCTCTGGGAATATGGGTGTAGCCAGGATTTTTGTTGCGGGGGGGGGGCAGGCCTTTTGTTAGTTGAGCAGGCCTTTGGGGGGGACCTCAACCATATATTTTTATTGATGGGGGGGGCAGCTGCCCCTCCCTGCCCCCCTGGCTACGCCCATGTCTGGGAAGCACACCAGCTTAGATAGCAGCAGGCTTCCCCCATGGTTTCTTCCAAACACAGAGGTTCCTGTTAGCTGTCATCACCGCCATTTTTTGTGGCAGAGAAGTCCATAAGTTGGTTCTTCTGGATAGAATCCAGAAGGGACCTGCAACCAACACCAGATTTTTCCCTTTGGTATCCACTCTTGAGAACAGAGCATTTTAGAGCTAGTTATCTGACCAAACTCTCACCATTTTCCTCAAGAAATGCCTTTGTTGAACTGCATTTCCAAGCGATGCCCACTCATTCTTGGATGCGTTGCTACAACAAGGTTCCATATGCAGACAGACTTTGTATTTCTGATCAACCTCAGGTGGAAGACATCACTCGTTTTCCATTAGCCTTCTCACCCCTTACATAGAGACCAAATAGCTCGCTTTCTGAACCTTTGTTCACACCAACAAGCAGTTACACCCCAGCAGAAATAGTTCGGTTTCTTTTGAGTGACAATAATAGCTTTGTAGCAAACAGTGACCCTCTATGCACTAGCTGGGAGGAAAAAGGACTTCGATAAAATTGCTATAAATCATTGTCGCACGATCAAAGCCTAGCCTGCCTCACAGAGCTGTTGTAAGGATAAAATGGGACTACGGGGCAGAACCATGCATGCCACTTTGAGCACCCTGGAGGAAAAGCAGGATATTAATGTAATGAATGACAGAAAGGACTACACCGCTTTATACTGGAGAGGGAGGACTCATGTTTTTGGAATTCTGCTCTGTGTTGAAGCACTCCGCGTCAGTAGGATATCAGGAGGAGCAGCATGCAAATGCCTACATTAGAACCTTTCTCCCCGAAGAGCTGGCTTTCTGCTTTTAGGGTTGCCTACTCCCCACCCTGGGGAGGAGAGGGACATTCAGAAGTAACCCTCACTTTAGTCAGAAGTGGTCCACCTCCTTTACTATACCTGTTGACGCTTCTCTCACTCCCCGTCTCCCATGGTGCTGTTTCTGGTGGTGGTCCTGCATACACAACTCTCTCCAGGTCCCTTCACAGGGTTTCTTCTTCTTCCTCTTTCAGACTGGCACAATCTCGAACTAACCCCCAGGACCTCGACATTGGCTTGACTGCACAAGATATCCAAAGCGCTGAAATCCTCTCTCCTGTTGACTGGGACAAAGTAGATTCCTCTACAGTGGCGGGGAAAGACGACCACCTCTTTGGGTTCTGACGTCTTCTCTCTCTCTTTCCTTTTCTCCTGACCAGCTTTTCAAGTTACGTAACCACTGAGAACTTGATGCACTGCATTCTGAGTGATTTTTTTTAACCGGAGGGTTTTCCTTAAGAAGGGTGGGCGAGGCAAACATCTGATCCAGATGGATGCTATAATGTCACCATATAACTCTTTAGACCAAAGCTTTAGATATTTTAATAATCTTTTTATATATATAAATATATGAATACATTTCTTTTTTAAAAAAAATCTTTGCTTTTTATGTAAATGATGAGATACTCCTGAGCATATTTATTCAAGAACCCCTTCAGTTTACATATATCACGGAAATTAAGTAACATTGTCTAACTTAACATTACAGTATTAGACTGCTTTTCCCATTGGAATACTCGTGGTAAACTGTGATAGCATCAGCTGTGTTTTGTGAGGTGGGTGCCAGCGGTGCAACATCAAAGTGATCTGAGTTACTTTTTCTAGAAGAGAAGCAGCCCGACAAGGAAGGAGGTTGCTCTGGGGTAGATACAGCGAGGCGGAGTTGGCTTTCTGGCTGGTTCAAGCAGGGAAGGTTACTATGGGTTACATGATGCTGCATTAGGTGGGGAAATGGCAGGCTGTGGCCCTCTAGCCCTTTTCTCTATGACCTGCCGGCTCCTCCCACAGGCATGTTGGTGCCAACCCACAGCAGCTGAGTGGACAGAGCCTAGCCAGATGCTTTTAATAAGCATCAGTAGGGTTGTTTTGGTACTAATGGCACACAGGCTGAAGCAGCTGCCTAATCTGTGGACCAGAACTATTGAAACTGCCCTACTGATCCATGAAATCAAACCTGTTTGATGCCTAGGCCCTTTTCAGATGCTGTGGAGAAGGGAAGTCATGAGCCGCATAGGGCAGGGCCGTGTGTAAATGCTTGGAGAGGCATGCTCTGCCTCTTCTCTTGTTTCCCACACAGCAGGGGCCACACCACTGATAGCAACTTCCACCTCCAGGTAGCCACCAGCCTGGTTTCACTGTATCTCGACTTAGCAGGAGAGGACCTCCTGTCCCTGTTGGGACACCATAGTGAGACTGGAGTAGTGTGCACAGTGTGATGTACAGGGCTGGCTATCCATGTAGACAATTCTGGGAGGTGGAATATAACATTCTTTTCCCCTGAGAAATGACAGCCAAGTGCTTCGAGCCAGGAATACAGGAAGTTGACATCTGAACATGTCTCATGAGCAGTCTGTTTGCACCACCCTGAAATTCCTGTGGAACTGGTCCAAACATGTGTCAGAATGGGGCACCAATGGTTCATGACCCTCTTTGTAGCTTGACATGAGTTGAGCCCATTGGAAAATGTTCATATAGCCATGCAGGGAGAGGGGCTGTGTGGTTTCTACCCAATCTTAAGCTTCGTGTATCCAAATAGCAGTGGAAGCCTTAACTCTCTTCCTGCACTTCAGGCTGCACATGCATGGATCACATGAGTGGATGTTCACCATTTGGCAGGGGTAACAAACTCCATACATACAGAAAGCTAGTGTTGGGAAGAAGACTTCTCATTTTGCCTTTTCCCTGACTTACTTGTTTTCAATCTGCTGGGAAGTGGTTTGGAGAGCAGGTGTTAAAACACGTGCCCACCACTTTCAGTTCTTGGAAAGTTGATCACTGCCAATGCCTTTTTAAAAGAATAATACTTTACTGCTTATTTTATTGATTGCAAACTGCTTTGGAGCCCTGTTGTTAAGCAGGAAAGAAAGCAGACTGTACATTTTTTAATCAGCCTTGTATTTAACCACTTGCCTAATTGCCACAGGCAAAAATGAATTCCGTGGAGGCAAGTCACTGAAACCAGCTGAGCTACCAGAGGCAGGATGCAGTATCTGTACCTCATCCACTGGAAAACTCATTAGGCTAGTCACTTTTCTGTCCTTATGTACAAGGTTGTTTTAAAATCAGATGTGGCTCCCCAAGCACATTTTTTCTTCCCCGTTTCATCATCCCAGACCCCATTGATTTTGGCAAGAAGAAAAAAATAAAGTAGGCTGCTCAGCCCAGTGCCCTGAGGGGGATGCAAATCACCCCGTCCACATCAATCAGTGTTTTGATGAGCTAGGGTGGGTGATAACCGATTCCTTCACCTGATCTGTATGGATCAGCTCAAACAGGAGTGAGTGCCTGTTTGCATGTGTGAGAGCTAGTGTGTATGTGTGACAGGCAGGCAGGCAGGCAGGCAGGCAGGCAGACAAAGACGCATCCACATGAACTTTTGCCCACGCTCACTGCTGGTTTGTGGCTCCCAGAGGGTCACCAGGGATGAATGTGGCACTTGGGTCAATAAAGGTTAGCATGCATACATACATACCTGGAACAGCTTTTGGCCACATCCACACTAGACATTTAAAGTGCTTCCCCCAAAGAATGCTGGGAATTGTAGTTCTGTGGGGGGTAGACTTCAGGTTCCATGACCGCTGAAGCGCTATAAATGTTTGTTAAATGTATGGTGTGGAGCTGGCCTTCGCATGCACCCTCCCCAACAACTGGGAAAGGTTGTGAGGGAAGGAAGATTCACAGGTGGTTGGGAAAGAGAGATTGTAACAGGTGAGATTCTTTGGAAAGCAGCATGGTATTGATCCTTTGTGGTGATGAACTGCACCATGGCTGAACAATAATTTGAATCCGATGTGCGTTTTTTTTTACCCTTTCCAAAGGGCAGGCTATAATTGCACTCTTTTTCTCACTCAAATAGGTCTTAGCAAAGAGAGAGAGAAAATAAGGACCAATGTTTGCTTTTCTTTTTGGTGGCTCCATCAGAAGCAGGGTCTGTCTCCTTGCATTCTTCCTGAGCTCTTACTGGAAACAGGGAAATTGCGCTAGCTGTTAAAATGAGAAAGATCAAGAACCGCCTCTTTGAATTACCAGTAGGCAGTAATGGGTTCTTTCGTTCGTTCTTCAGCCAGCTTCAGAAGAGAGTAGGCATACTTTCTCTTAAGACATATAGCTTTGCACTTTAAAAAGGAAAAAAACTTGAACCAAAATTATGGTTTCAAATGTCAGATCAGGTTTGTATGGCTCTGTAACCTTTTTCTCTTTTGCCTTTTGAAAGTACTTCATTCAAAAACACACAGAGGCTGTTGGATATTCTTCCTAAAACTGACCTTTGCTCTTTTGCTGCAGCAAAATGTTTGAAGACTCATCCATCACATTGATGGAGATGCTGAGCAGTTTCACTTAGATTTCTCTGTATATTTGCCATCTAGGAAGAACTCAAATGCTGAGGTTTGGCTAGTTGACTAGACAACAGTGGTCCTTATATTTATTCTTAAACATCTTTTGTTAATATTTGGTAAGTTCCACCATGGTCCCCCCCTATGCATCCCTCTCAGCCATTTAAGCCGCTAAATCGAAGGCCGCCAAATTGGATTAAAGGAAAACAATAATTCCTTTCGGCTTTCTATTTTTTAAAAAAATTAATGTTAAATGGCTGTTTATAAGTGCATTTCTGTCATACATCTTTCCTTCTTCCCACCTGCGTCTCTGACAGAGGCTTAGAAAATAAATTCTCAGTCTAATTTCTCATTTCATAAGACTCTGGATTTAGAAAACTAAATAATGGGAGACTCAGGATTACAGTCATTAAGAGATTATGTTTAACAATGATCCTGAATAGCTGCACTGTGGCACAGTTTGCTGTGTTTGTGGCCTTGTTGGAAATATACTAATCTGTTTTATAGATTTGTAATTGGCTTCTGAAATACTAATTTCACTTTTCCCAAAGAATCCTTTTTTTATATAACTCTGCTAATGCTACAGCTGGGCAAAGTAAAACTTTAATGAGGCTGACGATTCAGAAGACAGCAGATAGATTAACCTCCGAAACCAGATAGTTTGGAAACTTGGCTCTTATAAACTGTGTACTAAGTTGATCCCGGGAGGAAAAGGTGTTTAATGAAACTTACTTCATCTCTCCAAAAAGGCATCTCTTCTCAGCATGCCGTGCCTTGTAAGCACAAGGTACAAAAAACTCTTCTATTTGGGTTGACAATGCAAGGTCAGTTGAAGATCTCTGCTGAAAATATGTATATCTATATAGACGGTATCCTCATCTGTACAAAACTAACTAGAATTGAACAGAAACTTGTCTTATACATGGAGCAGAATAAGGTGGTAGAATAGAATGTTTCACTTCAAGGGACAAGTGAGGATTCAAATTTGGAATACTGTCCATATTAAAGCAAAAAAATAATAATTCCTGAAGGTAAATATCTAGCACATCAGGGAGAAGGGTTGTAGCCCCACTCCTTGTTTCTACTCACATGGAGTCTTTCATGAAGAATAGGATTGGGGTGCAGGTGTCTCTCCTGATATTGCTGGACTACAGCTGCCATCATGCCTGACCAGTGGACATGCTGGCTAGGAGTGATGAGAGTTGATAGTTCAACATCTGGAGGGCCAGAGAGCCCCCATCCCTAGTGCAGAGGAGAATTCACAAAGGTGATCCCCCCCAACACCCACCATCCAATGTGATGCACTCTGTTTTATCACCTCATATCTCTACCACCTCATTCCCTTGTCTGTGTCGCCCAGGCTTCATATACAGGAGTTTGCTGCAGTTGTTGCTATAGCAAAGGTCTTGAAAGAATGGTCTAAGAAGTTTCATTTTTATGAGAACATACCTATTTTGGAAATCTCTAGAAAAAAGTGTATGTAACATGAACAATATAATGCCTCTGTGTATATAGTTAAACATATGCTGTAAAAAGTACATTTGCTGTTGAGAAAATAAAAATTCTACCTTTTTTCCAGTAGACTGTTTTTATTTGTTTTTGATAATTGTATTGCACACTCTTCTACTGAAAAGTGTTCAAAGTATTCAAAGTTGGTGACAATAGTCATAAAAAGCAGGGCTTTATAGGCTCTGGTGGGCAGGGATTGGCTTTTGGAGTCAGCTGACTGCATGTGGATTGCATGAGGCAGGGGTCAGCAACCTTTTTCAGCCGTGGGCCAGTCCACCGTCCCTCAGACCTTGTGGTGGGCTGGGCTATATTTTGAATAAAAATAGGAACGAATTCCTATGCCCCACAAATAACCCAGAGATGCATTTTAAATAAAAGGACACATTCTACTCATGTAAAAACACGCTGATTCCTGGACTGTCCGTGGGCTGGATTGAGAAGGCAATTAGGCTGCATCCAGCCCCCCCCCCGGGCCTTAGGTTACCTACCCCTGGCATGAGGCATAAAACTCACCCTGCCAGATTTGCAGTTGAAGAGGAGGCGGCTAGGCACCAAAGCCTGATAATGGGAATCTGTAGTTCAGGGATCACAGAATTGTAGAGTTGGAAGGGACCCTGATGGTCCAACCCCCGCAATGCAGTAATCTTGCCCACAGTTGTCCCTGGGTGGGCTCAAACCATCAACCTTCTGGTTAACAGCTGGACGCACTGGAGGGTAGTATGAGGAGCCTCAAGCCCTGGGGCCAAATGCAGCCCTCCAGACCCCCCTCTCTCTGGTCTCACCCCAAACCACACACCCTCCCAAGCCTCATGTCTCAACAGCCCTATTTTGCAGCCTCCTTGAATGTTTTTCCCTGACTGGATCGTGCCCTTGAACTTGGAAAACGCTTGCTGCTTGCCTACAAGGGGAATAAAGGAAGCTGTTTGAAGAAACTACCCTACCCTACAAAGATGAAATTTACACCTAATGCTCCACCTCCTTGCTTCTGGCGCTGGGCCTCAGAGGTCTGCTCAGAAGAGATTGTGGCCCTCAGGATTAAAAAGTTCCCCCCTTTCTGCTCAGATTCAAGACACTCACACACCCAGAGAGCATCTTATGCCTTCGTGTTCCTGTTCTAAGGAGCATATCAGCCACCGTCACGCCTGGTCATCGAAGTATCTGTATGTATATAGCCCTGACAAATGGCAAAATTCAAATACTCAACTTATTTTGAGGCACGTTATTCTCCCTTCCACACTTCCTCTTAATTGTTAAGCCACATAACAGGAAGAAAAGCAGGAAATTATTAGTTTTTGGCTATTGACAAGCACACAAGGCTTTTTATTTTTTTTTTTAACCACTTTACCTCAGGAGAAATAGAACGTTAACGTGAAGTGTGAAGACTTCACTCTCTGGAAATGGGTGTTGAATACTGAGCAGGCGGAAGTTTACAAAGATGCCCTGCTATTTCGTCTGTGTTGTACCTGTGTGGAATATTCCCCAAAAGTTAATTTTACTATTTAAATAGGCTGTTCCAGTCTAAGGATATGTCTCAAATTGTGAATACTAAGTGTCTGCCACCCGGCCTCATGAATAACTGATGAAGGTGCCATGGACCAAATTGATCTTTCAATTTTGATGTGACCTTTTTCAAGCTTCTGCGTTGAATCTCGGGAATCCAGAATCTCTTTCTGCCTTGCCCTCTGCAAATCCCTTTCATTATTGATCTATTTATCTTTACCACCACCACATCCCTAAAGCTTGGGTAGGTAATAAATTGGTTTTTTAAAAAATCATACAGATAAAAATATCCAATTTAAAAATCTGTTGAAAACTTGATAAGTCCAACTGGGAGCAAACGTCACAATCATCAGCTTAAAACTGTCGCCTGACAATTCTCCCGATGCAGGAAGAGCAGGGTAAAACAGTGGGTTGCTGATGACATTTCCTGTAATTGTTTTTAAATCCAACCACTGCAGAGCACTCTTTGGGGTTACACTGAGAGGGACACCTCCCTTTTGTTGCCCTTTTTGTCTTTGTGGCTGAAGGGGGGATGCTCTAGTGAGGGCACAGAGCCCCAGGGGTAGGAAGTGCATAATTTTGCCCCATTGGGAGGTACCTAGAAATACATGCTTGCCTGTTTATTATTATCATCACTATTTCCATTTATTGACCACTTTACTATTCAAAAGGATCTCAAAGCGGTTTACATAATAAGCACAACAAAGCCATATCAAATAGTTCACCTAACAAAATACATAGAAATATCCATAAACATAATAATAATAAATCAGAGAGCACTACAGAGAAATTTAATATAAAATTTCAAACAACACACCATCATTCATCCAATCTCACTCATCATCCATTCCACATACCCACTACAACCATTCACTACCTCAAACATTACATCTATCTGCCACTCATACATAAAGACACTCAACAAGGTAGCTCAGCGGGTCGAGCATGAGACTCTTAATCTCAGGGTCAATGGTTTGAGCCCCACGCTGGGCAAAAAGATTCCTGCATTGCAGGGGTTGGACTAGATGACCCTCGTGGTCCCTTCCAACTCTACTATTCTATAAACCACTCACAGTCAACAATGTCACAACCCAAATGCAAAGGGTCACTGGCAAGCATACAGAAATAAGATACACTCCTAATATCTGAAGGAGTAATAAACTAATGAAATTTGGGGGTGGTCGGGGGAGGCAGGAAAGGGCATTCTTTGTGGCAGCCCTTAAGTTGTGGAACTCCCCCCCCCCCCCGCAATACACACACAGGTGTGACGTGCACCTTTATTGTAGTTTTCATGGAATATGAAGATGCAGGTGTTCATCCTGGTTTTCAAGATGTATATTTTAAGGATCCACCTTATTTCTGTAATGTTAAGTTGTTTAAAACTTAAAAAATATATATATTGTGTAATAGTGTTTTGATTTTAATGTTGTTTTACTTGCTGTAGCCTGCCCTAGGACAATGTAATAATACTAATAATGTCCTGCCCCACCCCAGTGGACCATGTAATAAATCCTTTGGACCATCTAACCTAATTCCTTGACCCCTGGGATTAAGTAGAAAGTAGAGTTTGCAGGTTAAACTTTCAGGCAGTCTTGAGACCACCCCCAACCCATATCTCAATTCTTAGAAACCGATACTAGGAGATAACATGTGTTTTTTCCTTCCTTTTTGCACCTAATTACTGTACTCACAAGAAACGAGTCATGTCAGAAACACATCCAGTGGTACAGTTAGGTTACTTTAGACTCTGGACTTAGTGGTTTTACTCCGGGTCCACTTCAAAATGTTGCAATCCACCACTGCTGTGTTTGGGGGTGGTGGCTTCTGCTATTGCTTCTAAGTGGGGACTTGGTCTTCTGTCCCCAAAGTCCCACCCCAATGGCACCACTGAACGCATTGCTGCTGTCAAGACAGTCCCCACTGCTGCCACCACCTCTCTTTAGATTCTTTGGAACCCCTGAATTTATACAGTGGGGTGGCGCTGTGGGTAAAACCTCAGCGCCTAGGACTTGCCGATCGCATGGTCGGCGGTTCGAATCCCCGCGGCGGGGTGCGCTCCCGTCGTTCGGTCCCAGCGCCTGCCAACCTAGCAGTTCGAAAGCACCCCCGGGTGCAAGTAGATAAATAGGGACCGCTTACCAGCGGGAAGGTAAACGGCGTTTCCATGTGCTGCGCTGGCTCGCCAGATGCAGCTTGTCATGCTGGCCACGTGACCCGGAAGTGTCTGCGGACAGCGCTGGCTCCCGGCCTCTAGAGTGAGATGAGCACACAATCCTAGAGTCTGTCAAGACTGGCCCGTACGGGCAGGGGTACCTTTACCTTTACCTTGGGTTAAGTACTTAATTTGTTCTGGAGGTCCGTTCTTAACCTGAAACTGTTCTTAACCTGAAGCACCACTTTAGCTAATGGGGCCTCCTGCTGCTGCCGCGCCGCTGCAGCACGATTTCTGTTCTCATCCTGAAGCAAAGTTCTTAACCCGAGGTACTATTTCTGGGTTAGCGGAGTCCGTAACCTGAAGCGTATGTAACCTGAAGCGTCTGTAACCCGAGGTACCACTGTATTTGGATTGTGTAAACAGAACTGAAGTTAAAGCAAGCTATGCAGTGAGGTAAACAAACCCTCAGACTGCGTTTCAATGAAGGGGGAAAATGTAAATAGGTCATCTTCCTCCTCCTGAAGAAGCTGCTCCATTGGGTTGTGCAAAAATTAGAATTTGTAAAAGGCAGTAAAGTATATCCAGGTAATTAGAGCTTTGAAAACTCAACTGCAGCACTAGATTAAAAATAAAAATAGGGCAAATTGCTGCAATCTTAATCTGATGCAAGTTTCTTTCTTATCTTTTCTGTTTAGCACAGAATATTTTTTTCACCTTGAATTATTGTCAGTCGATAGCATGCCACCCTGTAGGAGTCTTCGTTTTTCAAATCCCAGTTCAGACACAGTTTCATTGGCACAGCCTTCGGCAATTCACTCTCCACCTCAGTTCCCCAGCTGTCAAAAGAGAATAATTGATTATTTCATTTTTATACTGCTTAATATATGACTACCTCACAGGGTTGTTGTGAGGTTGAGTGAAATGAGTAGGCAGATATGTATTTTGAAATGTGAGAATGGGGCCATCTATAAACCTAGTAAATCACGCTTAATTATTCACTTACAAAATTTAATAAATGCTGCATTATATAATATTGCAGCAAAATAAAATTAACAGAACTGAACAATGAGCAACACAAAAGCAGTTATAAAAAGGAGTTAGAAACCATACCCAGCAGTAACATATAATTTTAAAATGCCAGGGAGTGGAAGACACATAAAAAGACAGCAGAAACTGGTAATTTAAAAAGCACATTTTTAAAATGTCTAGGAGAAGAAAACATTTTCTGCGGGTGCTGAAAGGACATTAATGCAGTTGCTAGGCAGGTAAACATTCCATCAACAAGGGGCCACCACTGAGACAGCTCTGTCTCTTATAGGAGGGATGGGAAACCTGACCTGGCCAGTGGGCCAACTCCTTATATCCTCTACCTCTCAGAGGCCAGATTTGACATGTAGGTGGGGTTACCCATCTGTCA